TTGGTCAACCGTCTAAAGAACCGAATGTAAAGTTGAATTGATTTTTATTAAAAGGATAAACATATGCACGATCTTAATTGTTGAATTATTATGTTTATTCTTGTGCTACAATGGAGTACCACTCAGCGTCAATGCTGAGCGGATAGCGTTGTTTTCCTTTTTGCTATCCGTAGGTGATCAGACAGATGAACCTAGAGCCGATCCCAGAAGGCATTGAGGAGGAGATGTATGATGACGTGGCTGTCTCTTTAATCTGCTGATATGCTTTATTTAATTAACTTTAATGCTTATTACGTTTTCGGGCAAGATCCCAAGTTGTTTGACTTTAAAAAGGCTTCCGCATTATTTTAAATTACTCCGATGAATTTTTATATGTATTGATAGAACGTTTGTTTAAAATTGTTTTGAAAATGTCGCAAATTCGGATACCAATTCAGTGACACACCGGTCCGCTGTCTCACGGGTTTGGGTCATGCGGGTTGGGGTGTTACAAGCAGACTATGGGATCAGTCATGACATAATACCACTTTACTGCGATAACACAAGTGCAATCAGTATTTCAAAGAATCCTATTTTATACTCACATACTAAGCACATTGACATAAAACATCACTTCATATGTGAACTGGTAGAAAATAAGACGATAATTTTCGAACATATTCCAACAAAGGAACAACTAGTAGACATCTTTACTAAGGCACTGGATGGGAACCGATTTGAGAAGCTCAGGTACAATCTGGGTCTTTGCGCACCATTCTAAGTGTGTAAGCTTGACATGTGGACACTTGAAAGCCAGCTCAGAGTGTACACGCCATGTCATATGCTGGGACCTCAAATCCTACTTGGAAAAGATAATCATGTGGCACACCTTTTCAATACCTGCATCATTATGAAGCACGCCTCTCAAAATTTTAGACGGCGCATGTACTCGAGACACAAAGAGGCGCACATTTTTTTATTTCAAAATCTCACAAAAAGAAGAAACTCAAATTCAATCGTCCATTCCACACAATCTCCCATCCACATTCATCTTCATCCCCATCCCGTATCTCTCTCTGAAACCCTAGCTCTCTACAAGAAACTTGCCAGCCACCATGGTGCGAAGCAAGATTGCTCTGCCACAGAAATTCAATCGAACAAGCGCCTCAAAAGCTTAGCCCCCATGGTTCAAGAAATTCTGCCAAGCATGCAAGAAACTTCAAGAAACAGGAGAAAAGAAGGAGACGACAGAGAAACAAAGGATTCTAGATGAGATTGTTTACATGCAGCAGGAAGAAGAGGATGTAACACTTCATCTGGTTTCAGATCTACCATAAGTGTTTTACCTTGAATACCACAAACCACAAGAGGAAGTTGACACCACTGAAGTGCAGAATCCAGACCCAGCATCAACCATAAGCGTGCCAACCAAGTCCTCACCAGATGAACCAGCACAAGAAGACGAGGAGTTCATCATAATTCTTGATGAAGAACCTCTTGTTTCCGTTTCAGCAGTCCCATTCCAAAAAGAATCTGAAGTGAAGAAGAGCAAGAAGAAGGTGAACCACGTCTCAGTCCCTCAACGCAGATCCAAGAAGAAGCAGCAACCACCTTCATCTCATGTGGTTTCTACTCTCTCAAGGCTTCAGCAAAGAGGAAGAGAAGGAGGAAGAACCAGAAGAACCACCGCTTCAGGTGGACAGCAGGCACATGGAGGGAAAACATCATAATGACATGGAGGTTGCTGGTCCATCCATTGCAAAGGCCAAAAAGGTACCATCCTTGGTGAAATTTCTAGAGCAGAAACTGATGCAGGTCAAAGTGGAGTTAGCCAGGTGTTCACATCAGAAAGACAATCTGGATACAGAAAAGGGCCATCTTGTGACACTTTTACGTCAAGCACGGGAAGCATCTTCAGATGAGGAGCACTCATGATGATGAAGAGTATGGTTAGTCTAAGGGGGAGAGTGAGGGGGATGACTCAAATTGAAGCAGTCTTGTAATAACAACTCTATTATCACTTTGTTTTTGTGTTGAGGTTGTTCTGCCTCTGGGATTTCTGGAGTATATTGTTTGCTCCAATATGACTTGCTTTTGGATTCTGGTTTTCTATTTGGAATTTGCTGCTGCTGGATTTGTTTGATTTTCGTGATATGTTTGCCAATATGTGCTTACTTGCTCTACTCTTACTCATATGGTGCTACTTGTTGGCCAAGTGATGTGATGTAGGTACAGTTCTATGCCACACTCTTAGGTTGTTATATGTCACATTGTACCTGCTCTTGATCGGTTGAATATTACTCTTCATCTTTTGCCCCAACGTTTTGTTAATAAACCTTGGCATTTTTTGTGCAAAAAAGGGGGAGAAGAGGTTCAACACGGCTGAGTAGTGGTTTTTGTCAAAAATTGCCAAAGGGGGAGATTGTTGGTTCCCTTGCTGTGTCTTAGTCTCATAATTCTGGTGTTGGCTTTATTTTTGACAAAAACCATGTGTTGTAGTTTATAGTATTTATTGTTTGTCCTAGCTGTGTGGTTCATAGAGCTATAGCATCCTGTCCGTCACTCTCATAGTCTAAGTGGATTTGGGACTGTCTCTTACCAAGCCAAAGGAGGATTCTGAACTTAGCCGTTACTTAATAAAAAGAGATCTCCAAATGAAGTGGCAATCACGTGCGAAATTGGAGAGAGATTATATTGAGGACTCTACTCGATAATTATGCCTTTTAGTTAGAGTTGTAAAAGGACTCTACTATGGTTGATCTCGCCTTAAAAAAGTATAAATAAAGGCCGACCTGCTAAGGTAGAACGTGAGAACAATAGAGAGAATCAACAACAGAGAGTTTCACAGAGCAAAATACTACAAGCAAGCAATCGAGGGATTGATTATTACTGGATTGCAGAAGAATGTTTCTGCAGGAAGATTAACGTGCGTTCCAGACACTTGAATTGAGAAGTACTGGAGCGTAGGCCAGGGACACGTCACAGATAAGTTTATAAGTGTGTCAGTCTCGGCATGCATGCATAAACTGAGTTTGTTGCATTCCCATTGTGTTATAGAGTTTAGATCAATTAGTAGATCGAGTCTATTGAGATTGAGGGTGTAAACTCTGATTTGATATAGTGGGAAGGCTGTTACACTGACGCGGGCCTCGCAGACGTAGCAGAATTTGCTCCGAACTGCGTAAACCATTTGTGTGTTGTGTGTTGTGTATTGTTCCTTTCTGTTCTTAATTGTTTACGTAAGTGATAGTGAGGTTGGTGTAGCACTCTGTTTGATAACTTAGTTTATATCAGTGCTACAACATCCTTTGTCACAACCTGCAGAGTTTAGACTTTTACAGGTTGTACACTGAGGGTCGTGAAACTTTCAAACACCTCCCTCACCAATCTGACTTTTATAGTGCTCATTGTGAGGTTTCTTGAGTTGGCAATGAATTATCGTATCCTATTACATATCGAGAATAGACAGCAGAAAACCATGCAATAGTTTATTATGTTGGTTTGCTATTCAAGGTTTACATCTAGTTCTACCATATAATTTGCCTAAACTCATACTTACGTCATCTTGTAACTAAGTTCTCGTTTTGGTTTGGAAAAATGATTAAAGTAAAAGAAAAACAAAAAAAATACTAAAATAAGAGTTTTATGTTTATATTTTAAAAAGATGACTTAAAATGCATAAAAATACCAATCATGTCAATATAATATACCAAAAAGTATTGTGAAATTACCATATATGGTCTCACAGTATCACATTGTGAATTCTTTTATATATATATATATATATATATATATATATATATATATATATATATATATATATATATATATATATAGTAGGGGTGGGTTCGGTTTTGGCGGTTCGGTTTTCACCCAAAACCAAAGACAAAACGGAAGGTAAATTGGCTGTTCGGTTCGGTTTTGCATAAAAAATATGTAAACCATTGGTTATTCGGTTCGGTTTTATACGGTTTTTTTTTCGGTTTTTTCGGTTTATAAAAGTAGAAATTTATAAGCATTAAAAAATAGTAAAAACACTAATAACTCGATGAAACAATAACAATATGTACTGTTAGCTTTGGTTTTTTGTTTGATTTTTACACAAAAACAAAACCAAACGGAAGGTCATTGTTCCTTTCGGTTCAATTTTACATAAAAAATATGTGTTGAGTGCCCAACAAACATTTAGAAGATTCCAAATACTTCCAAAGAAATCGTATGTAAAATCAATTACGAAGAATTTAGGTTTTTTGGTATAATACTTTCATTTTCATTATAACATCAAAGTATTTGTTATGTAAATATGTAAATTACTCGTATCAATTTTTAATGTTAATATAATTCTATTTTAGGAT